AGCTATTAACTATACCTTAATTTTTTTTCTTCTTTTATATTCCGCGGTGGGTTTAAGAAATTATACATTTTAGTTTGAGTGATCTTTTACAGTCTGTATGGAAAGATGGTAACTGAAAAAAATGTCTCTAGAGCGAGTTATGCAGACATTTATGTGGTTGTTAAGTTATATTATGATATGCTATTTGTATTTGAACAAAAGTCGCTTGCTAGGAGAACATTATAAAGAAAACAAGCTTCAGTCAGAGGTATTCACGAATCACAGCTGCTCAATGTACCTGAGGACCAGGGATGGTACTATTGTGAGAACACTTGCTTCCTACCATTTTGGCCGGGTTATATCCTGGACCTTGGTTTTTCATGTCGGCTGAGTTTGTTGTCGATCCGCGCCTTTACTCTCGACGTTTTTCTTCAGGTTCTCCTCGTTTTTATTCTCATTAAATTAACATTCCGAATTCCAATTACTTGCGGAAAACCATACTCTGGGAAATGTGAAGTTTTTGTTCATTAATTTTGGTTTGTTTTCTTGTTGCATTTACAGGCTAAAAAAAGTGTTTCGGCAGCTATAGCTACAAACCAGGAAGACCTTAACGAAGAAACAGAACGCAACTAGAAAAAACTGCGAAATTTTAGAACTTCGCTCACGAAACTTTATTTTTAGCTGAAAAGAAAGGTTTAGATAAAACAGCATTTTAGAGGTCGCAGGTCTTTTGGATTGGATTGAGCTTAAGTCGCTGAATTGTTATGGAGTTTTCGTGGTTTGATTGAAATTTTGATACAGAGTAATTCTTAACTGACTGTAAAAAGTTATCCTGTACTGATTTTGTCTTCTTTATATCGGTCTGTGATTGGCCTAGAAACTCGCCCAATGTGCGAAAGAAATCAGATGCCAAACGGAAAAGAATCGCGACTGATCGTTGGCCCCCAATTTTTGTAGTTTGCTTGTATTTCCTTTAAAACCTCATCGGCTAATAAAGATGCAAAACTTCGTTATTATTGGCTGTTGTAATTACTTTGGTTTTTGGGTTAGGCCGGCCAGTTGAAAATTATTCCAAAAAACCATGAATTGCGTATTTCTGTTTTGCATTTATGGAGCATCTCTCATCCGGGATATTCATATGTCTAGTTGGTGCCATTGTACGTTGGTGCCGCCGTTGTGTGTTGACTTTTACAAGCTTTAGTTAACAGTTTACTTTACATTGAAGTGCTTGGAGGGAAAATTTCCGATCGTTAATTCATCCCTTATCAAATGAAATTCAATAGACCTTTGTCTTCATATACATATGTAAAAGCAAGCACTAAAATCGAGTATTTGTAGAGTATCACAGTTGTGTTCTGTACTATATGTTCATGAATAGATCATGAAATACAGTAAAATAAAAAGATTCGAACATAGAAAGATTTTCCTTTTGTTGTCTGTTTTCTCCTACATTGTACTTTCCTTTCTCGACCATAAACGCCTATAGAAGGAAATTGTCGGGAATACTTAGTTCAAACTGGCTGAAACTTAAGTGAAACTAAGACGGGAGTGTTTGGTTATATCTTCGAAGATAAATGAAGTGTTCCTTGGAGCTATGTCTCAACTATTTGATGAAGCGGTGTCCTTAACTCCTTTCCAGGTAATAAGTGTCCGACTTGGAATGTGCTTGTGTTAAAACTTTTATCATCTTGATGAGCAGTATTTGAATCATAAACTTCTGTGGAAATGGTACACGAGAGTGGCCTTTACTTTTGAGCCGTTATTCAACCTGTACTCTCCAGTGCTAGGTAGTATTTCTTCTTTCGAGGCTAAAATTCAGGAGCTGTACTGGATTTTTGATTATCTCTTCGTCTTATCTAAAAAATGGACTTACCGAATTTTTGTAAGGTTTTCACGCTGTAAGATTGTCATAACCTTATTTACGGTAACAAAACTTTCAAACATGTTTAACACTCGTGCAGTGCAGTTTTCGTCTCTGTCAAAAACTTATACAAATCGTAATGTCGGAGTGACTGTGATCATGACGTGGTCCCACGCGCAAGTTCCATCGCGACATATATATGGTGGCAATCTTCGACCACCGCTGTGAAACAAACCTCATAAATTAAAATGGCGCATGTTACATAGGCTAATGTAGCACAATTCGCCGTCTTAGACAAGGCAATTGGGGCATTGCAGTTTTCTTGAACTTGCCATGAGTTAGGGCGGCATATCGCTCTTTCTGGAGTTCACTAACAACTTCATTTAACCTTTCAAATGAGAAAGATGATAAATTTTGAGCAAGACAAAATGATTTTAAAATGTTTTTCCGTCTCGTCTCGTTCTTATTGTCATATGGGGCTTTCGACATTGCTTATCGTGGCTGTATGCTAGACGCGTGTCAACCATGGTCCTTATGATGGTGTAACTCATCGTGGGGTCTCTGTGACCCAGTAGTAAGGCATCGGAGCCAGAAATCATAAGGTCTGACATAAGGTCGAGACAAGACGAATGAACATCTCCTCCACAACCGTTCAAATGTAGCTTACCTACTTTTTGTTTCACCGTTTTTCAGT